ACATGATGTACTGCCATACGAGAAAGAGCATCAGCTTGGGTGTTTACTCGGCCAGGACGGTGGATCATATGAAAATCAAACCGTGATAGATAGAGGGCCCATCGGGCTTGTCGACGGGTAAGGTCTTGTGCTGTGCGCCAGAATTCGAGGTTGGAGTGATCAGTGATAATGTCGAATGGTTGTGGAAGTCCTTCCAGGAAATTCCTCCAGTCCTTCAATGCTTCAATGATGGCAAGCATCTCCCGATCATATATTTCATAGTTCCGTTCTGCTGGCTGCATGGATGCTGATCTGAAGGCTACCGGGTGCCACTGACCATTGTCTTGCTTCTGCATGAGGGCGCCTCCCGTAGCAAAGCCTGATGCGTCTACCTCAATTCGAGTGGGCCGATCTGGCGCCCATAGAGCAAGGATTGGTGCGGAGATGAAGGCCTCTCGAAGGGTGTCAAATGCCTCCTGTTGTGTACCAGTCCAGTTAAAGCTGGTATCCTTCTTGGTTAGGTCGTTCAAAGGTCGAGCTATTCTTGCAAAATTTCGGATAAAGCGCCGGTAGAAGTTTGCAAACCCCAAAAATCCTCGCAGTTCCCGGAGGTTGGTAGGGACTGGCCAGTCACGAACAGCCGCTACTTTGACCGGATCCATTCTCACCTCCCCTTCTGAAATGATAAGTCCCAGGTATTCGATCTGTTGCTGTTCAAATTCACACTTCTCTGGGCGCAAATAGAGGTCGTGCTTTTCTAGTCGCGTTAATACTTCCCGTACCACTTGTCGGTGTTCCTTGAGGTCGTTACTGAATATGAGGATGTTGTCTAGGTAGACTGCCACCTTGCCAGCTGCAATGAGATCAGCAAATATCGCATTCATAAGTGCTTGGAATGTGGCAGGGGAATTCGTGAGACCGAAGAACATAACCTTAGGCTCGAACAAGCCCCGAGTTGTTGCAAATGCGCCTTTCCATTCATGCCCCTTCTTAATCTGCACATTATTGTAGCCCCAGCGAACGTCAAACTTGGTGAAATATCGCGCTCCCTGAAGCCGGCTAATGATATCAGCAACTAATGGGAGAGGGTATCGGTTCTTCACAGTATACTCATTCAGTTTCCGGTAGTCCTGTACGAAACGGAGTTTCCCATCCTTCTTCTTCACGAAGAAGACTGGAGATGAGATGGGTGACTTCGAGGGAACGATGTAGCCTTTCCGTAGGTTTTCTTCTAGAAAGCGGTCGAGTTCCTCCTGCTCGTTCAAGGACATTGGGTAGATCTTTGTCCGCATGGTTGCTGGTGCTCCGGGTACAAGATCGATAGCGTGATCCCAGGGCTGATGGGCAGGTAATCGCTCAGAGGCAGATTCGGAGAAAACCTTCTTGAAGTCTCGGTACTGCTCAGGGACCATCTCCTCAAAGGTTTTAATGGGTTTATCACGGTTAGCCTCCTCTGCTAGTTGTTGAGAATAAGTGAACCCTGCTGAGCACCATACTTCCTCTGTTTGTTCTTCCAATATCCCCGCTTTCACCCATGCCCGACGCATTTTGTGATTGGCTCGTATTCGGTGTATTGGGGATTCCTCCGTTGCTGTTATGATTTCATTCTCCTCTAGGTCTGCCTCAGTGTGATTGGGTTCACGTTGGGATCCTTCGTTCAGGAGTTCCTGGATTGGACTATCGGTAGTAGACGCCACTAGGTGAGGGTGTGAAGTCTGCTCATCTTCTACTTCCTCTATATGTACCCGGGGTGGCTTTACTGAAAGTCGTCCCTTCTCCCAGTCAATCTCTGGATTCACCTTCCGTAACCAGGGGAGTCCGAGAATAATATCCTCTCCTCCTAAGTTTGTGATCAGGAAATCCATCCATCGCTCTTGGTTATCCACTGTGAGTGCTAAGCGTGCAAAGTGGGTGATTCGCCCGGCTCGGTTAGGTGTACCATCGATATTGAATACATCGATTGGTTTATGGAGGGGTGCGCAGGTTACGTGATTTCTGGTGGCAAAGTCTTGGTTTAAAAACAGGGCGGTAGCTCCACAGTCTACCATGGCTGCGGTTGTTATACTATGGTTCCTTCCTCTCAGTTTCGCATGAATTCGGAAATGTGGGGAGCTGGAATTTAATTCCCAAATAGATGATATTGTACATGATGGGAGCGAGTCATACGAAGAGGTAGCGAACATAGTAAACTGATTATGGGGTACTCTCGGTGCAGCCGGAGCGGGTACCCTCTTTAAAAACCCTGCTGAAAACCAGAGGACGGAGGAGACATGGCATTAGCACGGTCCAACAATTCCCTTATTTGTCCAATCTGGGTGGAGAAGTCCTGATTAGCGGGGCTCGGTGTAGCAGGTCCAGCGACAGGTGTTGGGATTGAGGCGGCAATCTGAACTGATTCGTTTGGGAATAAGGTAAATGGTGCCGCCGTGGCTGAGATCTGCTGACAGCGAGGCTGTTGGCGTCGGCCACGGTCGCGACTAAGTCCCATGAACTTGTCCTGACAGACGGATTCTAGGTGTCCCCGGCGTCCACAGTATCGGCAGGTAGTCTCCTTGTGTGGGCAATTCTGCTTAACATGGCCTTGAGCTCCACAACCCAAACATCGTCCGCGCATACGGGCAAGGAAGGCCTCCCTGCTATTCCCAGTGCTGGTATGAGTAGCATCAATGTCCATGGCGTGAGGGTCGGCAGGGGTAATGTGAGCGGTGTGTGCGGGAGAGTGTCCGGTGTTTCGGCCAGTCATGGTGGGATCATGCAGGTAGACATCCACCGATATGGCTCGTTTGATTGCCTCTTTCAAAGTCGGAGCGATTCCTTGGGCGATGTTTACGATGATAAGGTGTTGTTGGATCTCCGGAAGTAAGGCGGTGAAGAAGCGTTCCTGTAAATCAATATCAGACATTTCAGTCCGATCTCCGATGTCCTTGAACTTCTGGGCAAATTCTGCAACTGTCTGCCCTTTACTTTGTCTGAGGTTCTTGATCTCGCTACGGGCTTCCATACCTGGGTCCATTGGTTCAAACCGCTGGCTAAATTCCTTCAAGAACGTATCCCAGTTTCCTCCGAAAGGGGGATTCTCTGCACTGAAGTGTAACAGATGGGGAGTTGCCCAATCTCCAGCACTTTCTGTGAAGAAGCCCAGGGCGGACTTGATAAGTTTAACTTGGCTCTTGGCGAGATCCGGTTGTTCTGACGCCCAATTTTGGAACTGAGCCATGAAGCGACGAGCTTCAGCACCATCTTTACCCTTGAAGACCTCGGGTTTGTTCATGCTTGACTTGGATGATGAGCGTTCCTCCATCGCTGTAGCAAGGCTGGCTACTTGTCTGATGAGCTGAGCCATGAGATCCTCAGCAGAGGTATTTGGGGCAGGCGGGACAGGAGTCGACATGATGGGAGTAGGCAATCGGGGTTGGGGAATTGGCAGGAAGGTTATATTGCTCACAGTGAGTGGCTCTCGGATCGAGTTCGAAAGGGCGTTGGGGCAAGGTTGAGACTGGCAATCGCGCCAAGTATCGTTGTTGTTGTGGGCGTGAGCTTGGTCTCTGGGGTCAAGTGCGTGCGGGAGTGTGGAGCAGTCTATACTGGCAGCAGGTGTTTCAGAATCGGGCGGGACTGGGGAAGACGTGGTGTCTACGGATCCTGCAAGGACAACCTTATCGGTAGGCTGTCAGTGCAGTAATGGATCTTGACCTAATGTCACGAAGTGGCAGAGGCGGAGTGACTAGCGGAGCAGGAAGCGGGGTGACTAAGCCAGGCAGTGAGGCGGAGCGACTAAGCAGGTGAGTGAGGCGGAGCGACTAAGTGGAGCGGAGGCGAACTGGTCCCAGATAATGACAGAGAGGTCAAGATAAGGGACCAGGCTGTGGAGGGTTGGCTATATATACATAATCTAGTCTGCGAGAAACAACGATGTAATACTGTACAGTTCAGGGGCAAGGAAGGAGGCGGAAGCCGATAGAAAGAGAAGGTGGGTCAGGTGGATCAGTAATAGATAGATCAGTAATCGATGGAGATTGACAGCGATGGGATGATGTATTGTACAAGTAAAGGCGTCGAGACGGTGAGAAAGGGAAAATGATAGGGGCTGCGTACTTTATGACAGTATACTTGAATCTTGGAACCATTATGGACCAAATAAGGACATGTAGATTCAAATTAAATGGTATCAGACCGAGTGTAGAAGTTTCCTTGCGGTTCCAAACGTTTATTGTATTAAATTAATTGTACTGTGCGATTCTATATTCTGTATGTATAAATAGCGATCCGATGTATCTGGAATACAAGTGATTTTGGGACGACGTTGCAGTGCTAATCCGTAAAAAGGAAAGACACACTCCCACCAGACTGAAACCTCTTCGCTAGCAGCCATTCGGGCCCGGCACTTGTGAGTATAGGAACATTGTGTTCTGCTCCTTGTGACTGCAAGAAGTATATCCAGTTGTTGGGTATTCTTCGAACTTAGGACCAGTCATTGGTCTTAAGGGCAAATCACGCTGTGTGGTTGTGCCAGCACATAGTTCTAGCCCTCCGTAGGGGTCTGTGTGTTTCGGTTTTAATTTACTTTGATTCAAACCCCCAATTCTTGATATACCCAAATCAATACAACCCAAGCACAAATTGTGCTGAATCTACCTTGATCAAAGGATATATCGAATCCTCAGAACGATTCAAATTGATTGATTAAAGCTTCTTACTTAGCTCTCAAAGCTTTGCGGAACCTTTGCCAACGCTACCCCTTGCTATTAAATAAATTTGATAGCAGTGAACTCGCATATTGTGTATTAGATTGGTTGGTTGGAGTGCCCATTAGATTCCTTCCTTTCTCTTTCACACAAAAACGAGGCAAGCTCGTTAACAGAAAGGAAAGGCTGCTATCGAACGGATGCAGGATTAGAGTAGAATTTGAGTTGCGATAGTGAATGGAAAGTGCTCGTATTTCAGACCAGGTTATTTATGCGATTACATCCCCTATCGCTCTTCGACGAATGGTCATACGTGAAGTACAATTCTGATCTGCTATGTCACATCCGAACAGTCCACAGGTGAGTTTTTCGGACACCTTTGGCTTTCAGTGTTACATGTTTTCGCTGTAGGCAATGAGCTTGAACAATGAACAGAATCTAGTACGAAATGTGGTGTCGGAACATTTGCAGGCGACTTTAAGTGGGGAGAAACCTGAACCGTTGCTACAGCTGGTACATGGCGCTTCAGGAACGGGCAAGACTGTTCTAGTGCGGGCGCTGTTTGCTGTGTTTGAAGCACATAGCAGCACCAATTTGTTGTTGACAGGATCTGCCTCTGATGTTGCAGCAAAAACGCTGAACGCAGTATACATCACCAAAGCGACTTTAACTCCCACGTTGATGGCTAACAAGCAGTACATCGTGATTGACGATTGCTCCGCACTTTCTGCCACTTTGTTGCGTGAACTGGCACTGTTGATGGGCGGGGCCAACGATGGCGCAAGGAACAAGAACATGTTTGGGCTTAGGAATGTGGTTTTGTTCGCAGACATTGCGCAACACCCACCGTCTGGCCGATACTGGGATACAGTATGGTGGCCGACAACCACAGCAGCTCCGTTCATTAAACCTTTCTTTGAAAATGTTCAGGTGCTCCAACGCGATATGACGGGCTCGATGGAAGTATGGTCCAGCCTTCTTTGTCATGTTCGAACCCAGTGCACCAATCTCGGGGACGTTCAGTTGTTAAACACCCGGGCTGCACAAACGAACGGAATCGCATCAATGAACATACTTCTGCCACATGAGGATGCAATTGTAGTCACCACCAGTGACACTCAACGACAGTACTGGAACATCAACTTTGCGTGTCGTTTTGCTCGAGCCACGAGGAAGACACTTTTCATTTCACCAGCGAGCGATGTTCTTGTGTTCCAGGATGGTGATAGGTTGAGTTCTGATGATTTTGACAAAATGAAGGAACGATTCAAGAGGGAGTTTACCCTTTTACGGGGAGTATACCTGTTCGTTGGTATGATTGTTACCATTACGCAGTCAGAACTGCGACACGTTTGGGGAGAGGTGACGGAAATTGTCGTTGATGACAGAGATGTTGTTGAAGAAGAGGCACACGACGTAAGATTGAAATATGGAGTGGCGCAGGTGACGGTGCATGTGTCACAGAAGATCATCGCAGCCAATCCAGGTATGAATGAGTTGGTAATAATCAAACCAGTGATGGTCCCCTTCAAAGTTCCTCATCCTTGTGAAACAAGACGCGAAATTGTTATCGAGAGAACGCAGCTACCCTTGGTACCACGATATGCAATAACAGAAGAAGACACGATGGGGCAAAGGTTCAATAAAGTTGTTGTCGATACAAGCAGTGGCCTGAGCCGCTACAAGTCGCTATATCAGGTTCTAACTCGGGTAACAGGATTGGGAAGTTTGGTGTTGACTTCATTGGTTCAGGGTTTGGGCGATAATTGCGATAATGTAGCAGCACAGGATATATTGGATGTCATCACGTGATTTGAGGGTAGAACGTAGTGGCTGAAGCCACAACCGTTAACAGAACGGACTTTCTGTAACGTACTTGTACTGATATATGTTTGAAAGTTTAAATAGAATATGTTTGCCTGAAGCTAAGTTGGATTTTCCTGCGGTTCATAATGTTGACCTCAACCGTCACATCTTCCGTGCAACGCGCTCACGATGGAACGATCCTGGTGCGCCCTGAAGTCGACATCATCATCGGCCGTAAATGTGAGTTGTAATTCACGCAGCTCGGGCAGGGAATTGAGCAGAATGTTGTAAGCACCTTCCTGTGTTGCAAACTAAGGCCAGTTAGAGTCACACTTCGAATAGACCAACGGACAGACTTACTTGATCACCAAGTTCATCGCAGAAAATGTGGGTAGAGAAGCGAGTTAAGTTGGGGCAGGCGTTCACAAGTAGTCAAAGTTCCCCTAGTTTAAGCCCTATAACGGAGAAGATGTCCAGAGTTCGAATACTCATAAGTGTATGAAGTCCTCGGACCAAACGCCTAAATATGGGCATTGGTTGACGTCTGCACAGGATGAGAAGTGCCTCAATAGGCCTCCAGTCATTGCTTTCGAATAGTTCAACGCAGTTGGTGAGGGAACCCACGAAGTTCTGTAATCTGGGTAGGACATGTAAGGAACGCATGTCGGTGCTGAAAACACAATCGTCAGATGATGTGTGAATATCCAGGTTTCAGATCATGGGGTGATGCAAGAGGAGAAGGGATAAAGATACAGAACGCAGAGGAAGGTCAAGTCAAAGCTGAGAGAGTTTAGGGAAAACAAAAAATTCCTGGTTAAGTAACGTTTGGAGAGGAAAGACGGTTTCGAATTGCGAAGTTTGGGGTAGAACGATCTCCAACGTTTGGAGCTGTGGTGCGTACTTGTGAAGCCCTTGGATGCAGTACTTGATAGTAGTGTAAGAAGCTGTGGGTGAGGAGCATTAATTCAATCTAGGTTGACAGAACTTTAAACACAAACGAGGGCTCAGAACGTTCGCAAAATCCAGTTTTACGTTCCTTAAAGGGGACCAACAGAGATCATTCTGCAGTTTCAATTAAAAGCATATCATTAATAATGTTGGAGAAGACGCACGAAAATTGCCATGAACAGACCGATGTCGGACTCCGAGCATTTGCAAGTGACCCTGAGTGTTTCGACTGAAGAAAACAACCGTACCGGCCGATTTCGCAAGATGTCGGACAGGGATAATGTTTGTGATTGAAAGTCGAACATTAGGATCGAACGATAACCTTTAAAGGTTTCAAGATTCTTCATAGCTTCAAAAAGTGTAGACACGCTTTATCATTGTCGACAGTGAGGTGAAGGACGTTTGCTGCTGGATGGGCTAACCATTTGCTCTTATTTTCCAAAGCAAAAGTGGCCAGCACGGTTGAGGTCACAGTTTCATACAAGCAACTATTGCTGACTGCATGTAGCCGAAGACAGGTGAGTGATAGTGACGCCAAGTGATGTTGTTCAGGAATGAGGCGCACGATAGAATGCAAGATCTCGTTTGCAAGGTTGTCCATATGAGAACGTAGTCAACAATCACAAGGACAGAAATGTTAAATAAATAACTTCGACAATCAGTGACATATTTTTTGAACCACACGTTATCATCTATCAATATATTTCCTAATCTAGTGCAAACACTACGACCACCGATCGACAACTCTGGTGATCTAGCGAAGATAAAGGGAGGGTACAACACCAAGAGAGTTAACGCACAGATTATTAGAGCATTCTCGAGCACATCTCCACTGAAACAAACCCCAGTTCGGTTCATAGCTATCTCTATAAGGACTACTAAACCCCCCCCAGCAGAATGCACCAATATTCCTGGATCCACGAGATCGCCTCATCAATGCAGGACAGGATTTACCACAAGCAAAATGCCAATCGCGGTTGTCCTCCATGAAATTACCCCTGTTGTTGAGGGTATCTCTCCGTTGGGTGCTCAAAGGCAGATCTTCATCAAGCGGCATAATGATGCCTTCTTCAAGTAAATCCGGATATAAGCAGTAAGCATAATGACTCCCCACCGCTACAGACTCTGCGATAGAATCACCGGCTATCAGCAGGGGTAGCATACAGTCACCTTTGGTGATAGTTAACGTCAACAGTAAACCCTGCGCAAAACTGACAAGTTAGCAACAAACAATGCTTGACAGCAACAAAGACATACTTTCGGAGTAAGGAACTGTTGGAAAGATTCAGTATATATCGAGAAGTTATCGCGGGCGAAGGGGTTGTCATATGTTTCAACACATTGGAGGTCTTTCAGAGTGAGTAACCACAAGGCGCGCCACCCCGAAACGGCGACAATGTTAATGTTGGTTAGTGCGAAATTTACACGCGGATCCATGATTCAGTAAGCAGCGGAACCAACGATAAACGACCGAAATGGTCAAGGGCTTCCATGAAAGTCTCGTGAGCATTGTTTTCAAAAGCATCCGCGAGTACGCAGTGTACATGAGAAGTGAAAAATTGCCTAACATGTGCATAGAAGTCGAAGTTGCCCAAAGCAAGGTTGAACAGCGACTTTATACCACAGTATCCGAACACGATTTCCCTTAGATCGCGAACGCTGAACAACCTGTGTGGAGGCTTCAACGGGTCCGCACTAAACACAGGAGGAAAAGTGAGCAGTTGCCGATGAGGATTTGGATACGTCAACCGAGTGTCAACGTTACGCGCGATGAGCCTATACAATGAAAGGTTACTTGGTCATTGTGGAAAAATATGAAACACACACCATTCCAAGATTACCTTGATGAGACCGAAATCTTCTCTTTCGACATTAACCAAGACATCTGCAATTGTGGTGGTGCAGGGCGCAGCGTGCTTCACGACAAGAACATTACCAGTCCACAAGTAATCGGGGGGATCGTAAGTGCGGAGCATATTGTTCTCGATCAAATCGTTGGTTGCCATGCGTTCGTGCTGACCGCAGAAGTAGAAAGTGAATAGGTGTTGCAAGTATGAAGTACTTTGAAGTGGGAAGCTGTTGATATGTACACGGTTATTACTGCATTCGGAGACGCCCGTCGGTGACATATTGAATATGTATGATCTGGTGTACAGGTCGTCGAGTGAGCAATAGTCCTTTATACCACGATCGAGTGGAACTGCAACAAGGACGGGCAGCATACAGCTGGTTCCAAAAAGCAGGCCGTTCGAAGCGTGAACAAGCTCACCAGACTGCATACTGTCGTTAGTAATATTTATAGGTGTAGAGCACGTTCGCTTTCACCTTGGCGTCGGTAGCGATATCATTCTCAACAATAGACACATCATTATCTGAGGTGGCGAACGGATGGCTAGGATCAAGGTGGTAGAACTCCAGAAAATGTTTGTCGACACCCATTTGTGTATAACGACGTCTGATAATAGATGGTGAAAAGAGTCAGAAGGAGTCTGGATAACAAACAAGATTATGAATATCCTAACGTAGGAGTCACTGTCATTTCGGTGTGCCCGCCAGTTTGGGTGTGGCTAATTGCAGATGCAATAGGAAGTCTTCCGAATTTGAAAGTTGTTAAGATCATGTACACCGTGTAACCGTGCCAAGGCCACAGGGTGTCTAAGTGCGGAAGACGAATGGGACAGTAGTGAAGTTATTAACAACACCGCCGTTACGCCGTTAGTCCCCGGAGAGCGAGAGTAGAGAGAGAGGAGCTAAGTAGCAGCCAGGTCGGAGCGGCGGTATCGCCGATGACGAGGAGCGGACCAGAGAACGTCAAAGTCCTAAGGTCGAGGAGAACGTACTTCGAGGCGTTGAGCCTGAAGACTTAGAGAAGAGTTAAGTTGAGAAGGGAGATCTAAGTTGATAATTAAACTGAGGAACTACAGTAGCGTACAGGCAGTATTTATATCTACGGAGCGGCGCAACGGGGCGGAGCGCCAGACTAACTACTAGGAGTTATACGTGTAGTCCTGCAGGGTGAAGTAAAAGACAATAAGGAGGGACTAGAGTGAAAGGGTATGTGTAGCGAGAAAGAACAATAAGGAAGAGATTACAATAAAAGGTAGATCTTCGGAATACCGAGCGGCGGAATGGAGGCCCGAGGCATGGACTTGACAGTATCCCCCTCTTAGGCTTGAGCCCTCGAAAGCCATTAATACCGGGAGTTGATTTGTCACCAAGGAAAAATTTTAAAGGCCGTCAGCCTCGGGAATTTGGCCCATCAGTCAGCAGAAAAATTTTCAAAGGCCGTTGGTGCCGGGGATTGTTGTTAGTCATCCAAGAAAATTTTCGGTGCACCGTAGACCATGTACAATTCGAAGAAAATTTTCGCTGGTCCGTGCGCCATTTTGTCCTTATAAAAAGGGCCAGGTTTTGCCGATGTGGCCCTAACTTTCCCCACTTCCCAAGTCGACAATGTCACACAGCCGTACTCAGACGATCACCACCCCCTCTTCAACTACGGCCGGCCCTTCAAGGTCGCGCCCCTTAAACCCGCCTCCCGCCGATCCGGTTGACGACGACGACGAGGCCTTGGAAGAAGACGACGACGAAGCCATCCAACAGGCCGAAGAAACAGTCCGCAGGATGAAGGCAAGGAAAGTGGCGGCGGCGGCCAGAAGGAAGGCCGAAGAAGAAGCGGCCAAGAAGGCTGCAGAAGAGGCGCAGAGGAAGAAGGAAGTAGCCGCGCGAGAGTTGGAGGAGCGCCGTAGGGTGATGGCGGAGGCGGCCGCCGCTCGCAGTCGGCGGGGGTCTTCGCCAGGAGGAAGTTCGATTTCCCCACGACGGCCCGTGGTGGAAGTCCATAAGGACAAGGGAAAAGGAAAGGCCAAGGCCCAGGTGAGTAGCGCGTAGCCTCGAATTTAACCTTTTACTAACATTCCTGTTTGTAGCCTGTTGGCGGGGACCCCGATGACGGCGACGACGGGGATGATGACGACAACGACAACGACAGAACTCCTTGCGAACGTTGCAGGAGTAAACGGATCCCTTGCCTTCAGCAGGCCGGCAAGCGGAGTAGCACCACCTGTAAGCCCTGCCATGATGCAAAAGTGCGTTGCTCGCACTCCAACCGGCCCCCCACGGTGAAAAAGGAGGTACCTTCCCACCCGACCGGCGAGCGTCTGGCAGTATTGGAGAGCCAGGTGGCTCAATTATTGGCCGACAACCGGGTTCTCCGTGAAGGTCAGATCAAGTCCAACACCTACGACCGCCACATCATCAAGAAGCTCGAGTGGTTGATGAGGGACGCCGCAAGGAGAAGGGATTCGCCACCGGAGATGCCGGAACCGGGACCGTCGCGATTGCCGAAGAAAAGGAGAAGGGTAGTGGATAGCGAGGAGGAGGAAGAGGATAGGATAGTAGGAGAGGAAGATGGAGAAGGGGAGCAGGAAGTAGAGGAGGAGGAAGGGATGGAACCGGCGCCGAAGAAGGCCCGGTCGGAGAAGGGGAAGGAGAGGGAGGAGTAGTAACGGACATCGGACATCGGCCCCTCTGTCACGAAGCGGCAGAGGCGGAGTGACTAACGGAGCGGGAAAGCGGAGCGACTAAGCAGAACGGTGAGGCGGAGCAATTGGACAAGGCAACAAGGCGGAGCGACTAAGCAGAACGGCGGCAGGCTGGTCCCAGATAATGACAGAGATATATTGAGTATCGTAGTCATAGGTAATAATAAGTAAGCACATACCTGGTCCCAGATAATGACAGAGAGGTCAAGATAAGGGACCAGGCTGTGGAGGGTTGGCTATATATACATAATCCGGTCTGCGAGAAACAACGATGTAATACTGTACAGTTTAGGAACAAGGAAGGTGGCGGAAGCCAATAGAAGGAGAAGATGGGTCAGGTGGATCAGTAATCGATGGATCAGTAATCGATGGGGTTTGACAGTGATGGGATGATGTATCGTACAAGTAAAGGCGTCGAGACGGTGAGAAAAGGAAAATGATAGGGGCTGCGTACTTTATGACATTACCCCCCTCCTTATGACCATTGCCCTCGATGGTCAAGGCTTTGCCGCTGTTGGGTGTTTTTTATGAAAGGCCCGGACAATTTTTGGTGCTCGACTGAGGTTGGCTGCGGGTTCCCAAGAGTTGTGCCCTGCGTCGTAACCTTTCCACTTAACCAAATATTCCAACTTCTTCCATCGAACCCGGCTGTCTAAGATCTCCTCTACTTCGTATTCCGGTTCGTCTTCATCCTCTAGGTATACCGGCTCTGGTGGTGTTGGTATTTCGCCATTAATGGAGTTACCTTTCCAGGGGTATAGTTTATCAACATGGAAGACGGGATGGAGGCGATCTAGGGATAGGGGAAGGTCAAGGCGGTAGTCTAAAGGGCCAATTTTCTCCAGAATGCGATAAGGGCCAAGCTGTCGATCTCCTAACTTTTCACTGGAAAGCTGAAGGTTAATGTCCTCTGCACTGAGCCAGACTAGGTCTCCAACTTTAAATTGATGAGCTTTCCGCTTCCCGCGTTCGTATCCCTCCTTCTGTTGTTTCTTTCCTAGGTGTAAGGCAGCTCCGGCATCTTGTCGCGCTTCTCGGAGAATCCGTATACGGTCATCTACAGCTGGAATACCGCTGCGTTGGCCCACTGGGATATTGAACAGGGGAAGATAGCCGTAGGTTAGCTCGAACGGGGACATGCCTAGCGCAGAATGAGTCCGTGAGTTAATCACAAACTCCGCCATGGGGAGGTGCTCTGCCCAGTCGTCTTGTCGTCGTCCTACATAGAGGCGGATGTATTTCTCTACTTCCTGATTTGCTCGTTCGGTTTGGCCATTAGACTGAGGACGGTATCCGGAGGTTAGATCTGATTTAATTCCTAGCCTAGCGAGAAGGGATCGCATGAGTTTAGCTGCAAACTGGGGTCCGCGGTCGGATTTAAAGTGAAGAGGAAGACCATGGAGACGGAAGATCTCTCGGTAGTAAATATCGGCAACGCCTTCGGCTGTGATGGAGCTGGTGCAAGGAATAGCGTGAATTTGTTTTCCATACAGGTCTGTGCAAACCAAGACAGCATCGTAGCCTTGGGAGTTAGGTAGCTGTGTTATCAGGTCAACCCCTACCTCTTCCCATAGACCGGATGGTACATCTAATGGTTGAGTTACGGCCCGTGGGTGTCGCTGGATCTTCTTACGGGCACAAACCTCGCATCCCTCAACGTATTTTTCCACAAAAGAGCGCAACGTAGGCCACCAGAAATGGGTACTGACCAAGTCGAGCGTCCCGTGTAGTTCGGGGTGTCCTGCAGTTGGATGGTCATGGCATTGACGGAGTACCTCAGTGCGTAGGTCGTCGTTTGCTGGTACGTATACTCGACCTCGGTAGTAGACCAACCCATTGTCTTCTTCCCATTCGGCTATCCCATTGGCCAAGCGCTGTAGTCCGTGCTCTTTGACTGTTTTGAGACCCTCCAATACCTGTGCCTCCCGTTCTGAGGCTTTCCGGATACGATCCTCTAAGGGGTTCTGTAGGATCGAAGCTGCAATTTTTACGAAGTGGCCAGGTTTAAGGACTGTCTGTTGTCGGTTATCATCGCTGTCCGATACATGATGAACTGCCATGCGGGAGAGAGCATCAGCTTGGGTGTTTACTCTGCCAGGGCGGTGGATCATATGAAAGTCAAACCGTGACAGATAGAGGGCCCATCGGGCTTGTCGGCGGGTGAGGTCTTGTGCAGTGCGCCAGAATTCGAGGTTCGAATGGTTGAGGGAGTCCTTCTAGAAAGTTCCTCCAATCCTTCAGTGCTTCAATGATAGCAAGCATTTCTCGATCGTAGATTTCGTAGTTCCGTTCCGCTGGCTGCATGGATGCCGATCTAAAGGCTACCGGATGCCATTGGCCATCATCCTGCTTCTGCATAAGGGCGCCTCCCGTGGCAAAGCCTGATGCGTCTACCTCGATTCGAGTAGGCCTGTCTGGTGTCCATAGAGCAAGGATTGGTGCGGAGATGAAGGCTTCTCGAAGGGTATCAAATGCTTTCTGTCGAGTGTCGGTCCAGGTAAAGCTGGTGTCTTTCTTCGTCAGGTCGTTCAGAGGTCGTGCTATTTTGGCAAAATTCCGGATAAAGCGTCGGTAGAAGTTTGCAA